ATATATATATATTTTTTTAACACCAAAATATCCCAATTTTTCTGCCATCTTCTTTCCTACGAGTCATACCTGACAGTCTCCCTAGGTCCCATAAACAAATGTCTGATGTATAAGCATTTTGTGAAAGGATGAAATCTCCAGTAAGAAATGACTTTCTCATGGAGACAGCCTGTCTCTGCTCATCAGTTCTGAGATGAGTATGAACAAGCACATGTTGACCAAGATAGATTGTGTGTGCCTCTTCTCCACTCTGTGTGTGCTTCTTCACCCTGTCAGTCCCTTGCAATATGATCTGGTAATCCATCCATGTTCTCTCTCCTGGAAGTGGCCATATTGACTAATTAACAGCTCAGACCTGCTTCCTTACTACTATTTTTGTTTGGTTTTGGTGAGACACATGGCTATGTCACTATCTGGGGACCTCAGAGTTAATGTACTAAGATTAGCTTTTTAATCTGTCCTCTTTTTAACTTTCTAATTATTTGTAGATATGTGACCCAATAGTAACAGAGCCACCGAGCCACAAGGATAGCCATGCACACTACTGCAAACTTTCTAAAAGAAGAAAAAACTAATCTTAATTATACATTTACATAACTTTAATATTAGATTTTGTTCAGCAAATAACATAAAATTACTGCAGGGTATTTTTAAGTTTTGTAAATAAATCTGGTGTGGATTTCACACATACAGCACACTTCAGTTTAGAGATGCCTCATTTTTTCTGGAAACAGACATTAAAGCCCTATAAGAAGCCTCACATGCTGGGTATGGTGGTGTGTGTTTGTAATCTCAGTATTCCAAAACTTTGTTTAGAGTTAAAACAGTCTTAACTTCCTTAGAAATTAATACAATTGGATACATTTTACCTTGTGACTGCTGGTTTTCTCTTGACAGCCCATAATCATTTAGTGAAAAAAATAAAAGCTCCTTAGAAACACTTTGAACACTGTAACAGCGGAGGCCACCAAAATTTGAACATAGAGTCATTGTTAAACCATTATGACTCTCTTGAAAAGCCTGCACTCATGTCTAGCATGTATACTGTTATTTTTTTAAGATTTATTTATTTATTTTATGTGAGTACACTGTAGCTGTCTTCAGACACACCAGAAGAAGGCATCAGCCCATTCACAGATGGTTGTGAGCCACCATGTGGTTTTTGGGAATTGAACTCAGGACCTCTGGAAGAACAGTCAGTGCCCTTAACCACTGAGACATCTCTCCAGCCTCATGTATACTGTTCTTTTCCTAATCTTCTCCCTTCTGTACATAATATTTGTGTTTAAATATGCCAAAACTTTTTCTTTTTTCATAATTTGTTTATTTTAGTCACATTACATTCTTACTGCAACCTTCCTCCCTTCTCTCCTCCCAGTTCTACCCTTACCTTCCCCCTATTACCCCTCCCCTCCTCCTCACAGAAGGGGAAGGCCCCCTTGGGTAATCCCACCCTGGGACATCTGATTCCAGCAGAACTAACCACCTCCTCTCCCACTGAGGCCCAGCCAGGCAGTCCAGGTAGGGGAAAGGGATCCAATGGCAGACAACAGGGTCAGAGACAGTCCCCACTCCTATTGTTAGGGGACCCACATGAAGACCAAGCTGCATATCTGCTACAAATGTTGGGGGAGCATAGGTCTAACCCTGCATGCTCTTTGGTTGGTGGCTCAGTCTCCATGAGCCTCCATGGGCCTAGGTTAGTTGACTCTGTGGGTCTTCTTGAGGTGTCTTTAACCCCTCCAGCTCCCTCAGTTTTATCCCCCACTCTTCCACAAGACTCCCTGAGCTCCACCTAGTGTTTGGCTGTGAATCTCTGCTTCTCTTTCCATCCACTGCTGGAGGTTTCCTCTCAAGAGACAGTTATGCTAGGCTCCTGTCTGCAAGCATGCAGAGTAACATTAATAGTGTCAGAGGTTGGCTTTTTCCCATGGACTGTGTCTCAAGTTGGACCAGTCGTTAGCTGGCCATTCCCTCAGTCTCTGCTCCATCTTTATCCCTGCACATCTTGTAGGTAGGAGAAATCTCAAATTGAAGGTTTTGTGGGTGGTTTGTGGGTTGATGACTCTCTCCTTCCACTGGAAGTCCAGGAGGTGACCACTTCAGTCTCTATATCTCTAGCTAGTAAGGATCTTAGCTAGGGTCACTCTCATAAACTTCCTATAGCCTCCCCCACTCCAGGTCTCCAACTAATTCCAGAGATGTCCCCCACCAATTTCCAGTCTCACTCCCAGCCCTACTCCCAACTCTTGACCCCAGACCCCCACCCCCACACCCTATGCCATCCCCATACCCTTCCTCACCCCCTCCCCCACCCAGTACCCTCTCTCCATCCACCTCTGGTGACTATTTAATTTCCCTTTCTGAATGAAATTCACACAGGGGCAAGGCTGGAGTGGGAGAAGTAAACAGGAAGGAGGGGGAGGGGAAAGGTAGGTAAAGGAAGGAATACAGAAGGTGTGGGACCATGATAGGATGACTTGGTTTTTGATAGAAGTGCTGGCTGGAAATAGCCTGGAGACCCAACAGGTGTCCATGCCTGTGAGGGACAGGCATCTATTTCCCTGAGCTTCTAGAATCCAGGTTCCTGACACGTGGCCGTAGTGTAGACCTCCATTTGATCTTCGCAGTTCAGTCACGTAGGGCAATGCTCCTACCAGCCCCTCCACAGGTAGAGGGTGTGACTACAGGCCTCAGGCCCAGAGAGATTTCCATATTAATGAGATACCTAAAGGCCAGAGGGCATAGCTAATTAAGTATTCTTTCCCAGATCATCCTCCCTCCCTATTTAAGTCAGGTCTGCCCTGACCTAAGTGGGGGTACAACCAGATTCAACTACCATCCACCATGAAAATAAAGCCTGTAAAACCATGGACTCCCTCGGGTCTTCTGGGGCATGCTGTGGAGTTCCACTGCGGAGGCCCGCTTCTTTAAGCCAAGCGAGTAACCAAAGAATCCCTTTTCTGCGGTCGGGGCTTCCCTTTCCCTCCCTTGCTTCTCTTGGCATGCGAGCTAGTCACGCACCCGCACGCCCCCAGTCTCGGTCCTTCTGTGGCCTCTCAGCAGCGTCTGAGAGCCCAAGGGCTTGAGACCAGTCATACCCTGGCCGCCTCCTGGTCTGGGGATCCCCTACTCAAGAGCCCCTGGCCCCCCACCCCCAGGGAACTTCAGATTGAGTTATCTTCCCACCCGTGAGTGCCCCAGTGGCTTCTCACAGCCCAGCATCCTGGCATCACATGGAAGGGGACCAGTCAAGAATCCTGCACTTCTGCTTCTCTCTGGAGGTGCTCCTTCCTGAGGCGCCCAAGAAGAGCAGAAAACACAACTGCACCCAACAGAAACCCATGCCCACCCGCACAACCACGCACTAGCTATCATTCCCTGCAGGAAGGGACAACAAACACTAAGGGCCATTTTAGGGGTCATATGGAAACCTACTACTGAAGAAGCATCTTAAAATATATACATATATGGAAGAATTCTAAATGGAGTCACTAAATAATGGGGGAGAAAATGCTGTGACTAGACGTCTCTCAGCACCAAGTGGAACGTCCAGGGCGAGGGATAGGTTACATCTAATTGAGTCATCAACCAAAGAGGCCTCATGGAAACCCCCAACAACCCACTATTGCCAAGGCTCTTGGTTGCTCTCCACAAACTGACGGTCAGGCCCTATCACTGAAGACAACTTTTGTATATCTTATTGAACACAGAGAAGGGGAGCTTGTGTCTCACTAGAGCCACCACCGCTATTGGATAGTATTCACGGTACTAGAAGGCATTCTGTACACTACTGAGGACAAAAGTCAACCATAACTCTGGTCAAAATCCTGTGATCTACAATGGTGGCCTGCCTTCAAAATAGGCTGGCACAGTAGTAGCATAAATGTTGTGGGAGTAACCAACCATCCTCTGATTGGATTTAAGTCCCACTGCACAGTGAGATGAGACCCATGCCTGACAGTGCTCAGGTAGCCAAGAACATGAGATTGAATAGAGTGTGGGCCAAAGGGAAATCCAGATACTGCAGTTCTAATATAGAGAGATATATTAGCTATATATTATATAGGAGAACATAGCAATGAATGTCTCCTAATGACGTTCTGCTCTACCCATAGATGAGTACTTCACACAGCCATCATCAGAGAAGCTGTTTGCAGTAGATGAAAGCTAACACAGAGAGCCATAACTAGACAGCATACAAGTGAGTGAGAGAAGTTGAAATACTCCGTCCTAAATGAGAAGACCCCAGCAAACCCCCCCGTCCTAAATGAGAAGACCCCATCAAACCCCTCCGTCCTAAATGAGAAGACTCCATCAAACCCCTCCATCCTAAATGAGAAGACCCCAGCAAACCCCTCCGTCCTAAATGAGAAGATTCCATCAAACCCATCCGTCCTAAATGAGAAGACTCCATCAAACCCCTCCGTCCTAAATGAGAAGACTCCATCAAACCCCTCCGTCCTAAATGAGAAGACTCCATCAAACCCCTCCACTCAGGGCTCAGGATTCGATGCAGAAGAGAAGGCAAAAAGACTGTACAAGAGTCAGAGGGGATGGATGACACCAAGGAAATAGAGATTTCCAACACACAACAGGACTGGTACACATATGAACTCACAGAGACTGTGTCAGCACACACAGGGCCTACACAGGGTCAAGTCAGATGGGATTCCAGTGCTGAGATGTGAAATGGGCACAGAGTCCCATCCCTAACAAAGATGCTGGCTCCAATTTCCATCAACTTGCAAAGAAAAAAAAAACCATTTTCTTCAGTGGAGTCTCACTGGGTACACGAGCCACACGTAGGACGTGAAGGAATGAGGTTGAGTGGATGGAAAAGATGGGCCTATCTGGAAGGAGTTGAAGGAGGGGAAACCATGATCAGAATATATTGTATTTTAAGTATAAAGTATTTTAAATATAAAAAGAAAAAAAAAGAAGTATCAGCTTTCTTTGATACCTTATAGTGTTGAAGGCATATGGCTAAGAAAATCCCTAAATCCACTTTAAAACTCAGCAAATGTGTCATGCAAATCAATGAGTCAAAATAAAATCAAATAAAACAAATACAGAGGAGATCTGCTATTACTTCCTGGGTATAATATATAAGGGGTAGCCCCATGAGGGCTCAGTGGCACCAGGAAGTTTATGGGTGCTGCAGTTTCGGTTCATGGTGTGATTAAATTAACTAGGATATTGGTGAAGTCATATGGTTTTCACCATCTTTATGATGTCATTAGCAAAGATGGTTGCCAAATCATGCAGTTACTGCCATCTTAATGAGGTAATCAGCAAAGATAGTGGCAAAAGACATGGTTATTTTCTGCATATGAGCTCAGCTCCATTGTAAAGTGAGCCCATTCTCCACCAGGGCATAATTTTTGTAGAATCCATATATAACACTGCCTAAATTTGCATAGTTTCAGCTAGGTGTAGTAATACACACTTCAGGAAGCAGGCTGATGTCTGTGAGTTTGAGGACAGCCTGGTCTACATAGGGAGATCCAGTTCCCCAACAAAATATGGGAAATTTCACTCATTTCTTTAAATAAAAAGACACCTTAGTTAGGTTAGCATTTATATAGGATAAGATGCTTCCTACGGCCTCAACAGGTAGGCATGAAATAGCAAATGAACAGAGGAAGAAATTCCATGCCCAACCCATGAAAGTTGATTCCATATGTCTTACCAGACAAATCATATCTGTGGATGCCACCAGACATTATCATCTGGATGATGCCTTACCTTCTCCTTAGTTCCCAGACATAAGAATTTGTTTCCTCCTATTTTATCCCATTCTGAGTATGACGTGGGGCTGAGATCTGATGGATCTCTGATTTTCCATGTTGGTTGGAATTCAAGACCTTTAAAACTCAGCTGATTAACAATTAGTTAATCCTAATTGAAAACCTTAGCAGCTTTGTGTGGTACCTTTACCCAGTTATAAAGGCAGTCAGACTTGACCACACCAAGAGACTGCCTTTTCCCCTGCCACCAGAAAATACCCACGGTCTCCTGGGGTCTCTGAGGGCGATGGGTGCTGAGGGAGAGAAAGAATAATTCTGTTCCAAGAGAGTGAAAATAGAATGTTAAACTTAAATCCAGAGACCTCATATTGTTCAGTCTCTCCATAGTTGGGGCAGGGGCAGTTATATTAAATAGGGCCTCTGGGCCAGCCAGAAAAGCTGTTTCTCTGGTTGAGGGTAATACTTCTTTTCTTTGTTTTCTCTTTCTTTTTTTTTTCCTTAGTTATTTTTCTATCCTGGTTTTTATTGTGCTCAATGCTCTTTTATTGAAATCTCTTTCACCTAGCCCCCACGGCATTTTATCTTTGGTGTGAGCACAGCGTATTCCTGGTCTCTATGGTGATTCCTTTGAACCTCCCCTCCCTGTGTTGTCCAGACCTTTTCAAACCTGAGTTCTTCTTTGGCTAATCTGGAAAGTGCCAGAGGCCCAACGCCCAAGGATCCCTGAAAAAGAGTTGCTGGCAGGCATCTCCCCTGGTAGGAGGTCTGAGTCATTCCGTTAGGAGAGATAGCTTTCCAATTGATCCTCCAAATTGTTAGAAATAAGTTTGGGTTTAAAAAGAAAGATATTATTACTCCAACTGAAGTGTCTGGACAGACAGATTTTGCTCTGGATCAAGAGGGCATATGTCAAAGACCAGCTTCAACGTCCATGGTAAACTGAGGCAGGGTGTACAGTCAGCAATTGATCACTCAGAAGACTTTTCTCTGAGGGAATAAAATTTGATTCACCAGGCTGGCAAAATACTCCCTGGGGGCAGTGAAAGCAAAAGAGGGGGAGAAGGAGTCAACACACACACACACACAAACTGGGTGGATGGAGTAAGCTTCAACAAGCTCCAATAACTTTTCTTTTCTCCCACAGCTTATATGTCCCAGGAAAATCTTTCGAGCAGCATAGAAATTACAGTGTGACTACATTCTATATTTCATATAGTGAATGATTATTTTTTTAAAAAAGTATGTTCCCCAATGCCTTTACATAAAGACCATTTAACATATCAGAGGTAAAAAAAAAAACAAATCACTCCCAAGAACCCACACACATTTGTAACTAAGCAACTTGTTCTAGATTAACAAAGTGTAAGCAAGCAAAGTAATTTTATCAGCCAGTTTCTCTTACTGGCAGGCTGCAATTTGTAGTTATATAGAAATGGCCAATTTTGTTATTATTTATCTTAAAAGGTAATCCTATAAAAATCTTTTAAAAACCACAAATCTAAACTTTTAAATAAAAACAGTCATTTCTACTTTAAATCCTCGGGATACACATCTACTCATTAACAACTTTTTATTTACTCATATCAGGAAGCTGATGGCAAAAATGGGTACAAGAAATTAATCACCACTTTAATCACCAGCTTTAGCAAGAGAGACACATCATCCAGTGCCAGCCAGGCTACCATTGTTCTTGTTCCCTGACCTCAAAAAGTCCCCAGCTTAACTATTAAGAGTGTACTTTTCTGGCCTCTAAGTTGGTTCCTAAGATTTTCTACATCAGAGCCACTAACAAAAACATCTTAACCTAAGTAACTTCACTAACAATCTACTTCTCCAAATTCTTTCTAAGGGCGCTGGTCATTGCTAACAATCTATATCTCTAGGTTCTTTCCAAGGGTGCTCACTCATTAATCTATAGCAATGCTTGAAAAAGTTCAATCACTGATATTGTAAGTGCCAACGACACCGCCCAGGGAGGGGCTGGAAGCCCCCTTAGACTTTTCACACAACTCATAGATTGGGAGAGAAACAAGGGCAGCAAGCAGAGCAAGACCTCACCACACCATGAAGACGTTAGGACCACAGTCCTCGGGGCTCTGCCTCTCCAAGGCACATCCATTGTAGCTGTGCTAACTGGTGGGCCACATTCCATGAGCTCTCAAGCTGTTTGGACTTTCCTCTTGCACATCCCCCAACAGGCGTGCTCAAAAGAGTAAACACTCTGAGACAGGAAATGCATTCAGTTTTTACTCTAACTTAAATGGTGGCTGTGTCTTTTCCCCAGTGGCTGGAGTCTGACCTCACAATCATACCCAACTGGCTTGTCTGAAAAGAATTCATGCACAGAAAAAGAGGTCACTACTTCAAGAAAAAAAAGTGACTGCTCCAGACCATCAAATTCCTAGAACAGTGAGCCTCTGGGTAAACAAAGGTTTTACTGGGAGGGGGAAGATTAAAACATTTCCGTGAAAGTCTTTCAATGTGGGAGAGATAAAAAGATTTTAATTACTTGTCTTCAACATGAGTTTTATAGTATTTGTTAGAAAAGACTCATATTGTTATAGGTCTGTGTTGCAGGATATTTGATCACACTGTGAACCCCAAGGTATGATACTTAATGGGAAAAAGCCTGTTTTTAGTTGTGGTGTGGCTCGGCCTTCGATACACCTTTAATCTAAGAGCTTTCTGCTTGAATGCTGTAGACAAGATTAAATAAAGTCAGTCATAGATGAAGAGGTGGAGCAAGCAACCAGTTGACAGGAAGTGAACATAGGATTACTAAGGAAAAGAAAAAACATAGACAGTAAGAGGGAGTCGGGATGATGGACAGCGAGAAGCACAGGAAGTAGAAGGGAGGGACATTCAGTTTGAAGGAGGTTTTTAGAGGCATCAGAGAGGGGATTCCTTCTGGGACATCAGCTGAGAAGGAAGGTCAGCTGGGTGCTTTCTCTGCCTCTCTAAGCTAGCAGGCTTTCACGCTAGCTCCCAAGCATTCATTGGTAAAATTGAATGAGTAAGATTTTGTTACAAAGCAACAGGTCTGGGGATGTTCAAAGATTTGCCAGTCTGACCGTGAGTAACTGTAAAGAAGAAGCTTTACTGAAATTTGCACCAGGACTGCACCAGAAAGTCGGGATTCTGAAGATGCAGCCTTGAGCCATGTTAGTCAGGCGGTTATAAAGGCAAAAAAACAAAAACAAAAAAACTAAAACCCACAAGGTTATGCTCTGGGGAGGCCGGTGGCACAGATCCTGCCTATGTGTAAGCAGGGCTCAGTTAACAAACAGATGTCATTGGTTACCTTGAGCAAGCAAGCTTATTTACAGAAGCAGAAACACACAGCACTGTGCCCACTATCTTGAATAAAAGACAGAATTAGTTAAAATTGTAAAAGACTAGACAATTACAAGAAAAACCACAGGCATTCCGGGAAGCCATCTGTTCTTAAGCAAGCTGGCTAACAGGGTCTCTTTCTCACTGGTACAACTTTTAGAGGCTAGATGTAATTTTTGCTTTACAGATCTTTAAGTGTAGTAATTTAAGCTTTAAACATAATGTTAGCCATCATAATACTTGATATTTCTTACATAGGTATGAAAAAAGAACTCATCAGGCCACTACAGATAGCAGCTTTCATTCATGCTGGCATGAAGTATGTCACCAAGATTCACCAACAAGAACGTTTCACTAGTGATGCCTTTACCCAAGG